TTTAGTCTGTTCTCCTGACAGCCCCAGTAAACTTGCTTCTCAGAAAAGCCTAGAAATTTCTCATGTCCTGGAGACCAGTTCTTTAAAGGAAAGGATGGCCAAGTATCAAGCTGCTCTGACAAAGCAGTCCAAGCCTGTCTCCCCCATGGTATGTCTGGGTATTTTTTTAACATGCAGTATATAGCTATGGTGCTGTGAAGAGGCACTTGTTGGCCAGGGTGTAAATTGGGTTGATATAGGTTAAGGATGTAAGGTTCAGCTATTGGGAAACTGATGATCAGAATTATACATCCACTTCCTCTTTACTTTTCTGCTTCTGGATTATTCACTGGATGCTCTGGCTGATAGTGACCTCCTTTGATGGTCTGTAGCTATAAATAGTTGGGAGGTCCAGCTTGGAACCTGCAGGTGGGATTCATGGTCTCGCCACTTCGACCACTCCCCTTAATACTAAATGGAGCTAACCAGAAGGCTGCATGTCTTTGTATAGGACGCTACTGCTGGTTGGTCCTATTTGGCTTTCTAAAGAGCACAAGGCTTTAGCTTGCTCAAAACTGGGTTTCTCCTACATTGACATTTTCCCAGGCATCCCCATGGCTCGGCCATATGTCTGAGTCAAACATTGTCATATTCGAGGTTTTACAGGAGCTAGACAAGTCGCTTTGCAACCCACTCTCCATGTAGATTGTAACACTACATATGGCACTCTCTGGGAAGACTAATCTCGGCAGTGTTGGGGAATGTCAGTCTCCTGTATTACTTTGTATAAACTAATTACATATGTACTGTGCCTCAAAGTTTATGCATTTCAGTTTTTCTTTTAGTCTGAGATTATCTGACTCTGGCCCCATTCACACCAGGGCAGAAGCTCTGGGAGCATTTTGGGCAGCAGTTGGTTTGGATCGTGCGGAGATGTGCACTTGCATCTATGGTCCTCATGTGAACAATTCCATACATTCCTATCAGTGGTTCAGCGCGGACAAATCCGTGCGACTGAACCGCCCTGGTGTGAACTGGGCATTCGATGAGATGTTAAGGACTGATGACCGTTTTACACTCTGTTCTTGGTGTACAGATTGACGACACCATCATTGCAATCTAATTTTGTCGTGTAAAGTGTCGGGCAGTAGCAATCAGTCGGCTTCTCCCTCTAATGTTAGGGTAGGTTATATCTTGAAAGACCTAAACTGGTTGCTAGTGGAGAAAATGCCTGTTCTCACTTTGTCCTACGCATCCAGCAGTCTTATCTCAAGCATTTTGAGCCTTACCAATTTCAGTTCTGACTACAGAGCACCTCCCGATGGAGAGTGAAAAGTGTTGAATGCTTCCAGTCCTAGGATAACACTGCTCCTCCATACAGTACAGTCAGTGTTCTCACCCTAGTACAGGAAGTTTGTTACTGGCAGGACCATTGGGTGAAAATAGTAGGTGGGGGAAAAAAAAACCGAAGCCAGCACCATGACTTATGACTTTTAAACTGCTATATATTGCATTTGTTTGGCTAAGATTTTTGTCAAGGCAAAATAAGGAAAGGCAGAGCAGCTCAGAATTTGACATGATTAACAGGTATTGCATTTATTGAATACTTTGGCATATTTAACAGACCACAAGGGAGCAGATACGTTTGTTCTTGGTCAGCACATACATAACCATCATATCCTACCAGTATCTTTTGTTTATAATTGCCCAACTAGGAGCATGGCAGGCACATATGTGGGCTTGTGTGCACATTGAAAAGTCCTGCCATCTTCTGTTGCTGCTCTCATCTAAAAGGCTCAATAGACTGCTGGCTAAAAATCCAACCCAGACAAAGTTCCTCCGCCATACCGTAAGTCTGTCAAAAAAGCCTGGTAATTTCAGGGAGACCAAAGATGGCCTAATTCATGCGTAGACAGATATGGAATTCAGGAGCCAGTCAGTCCAATTAATATGGAATTGGGACCCAGCTCCATAGACTACTAGAGAACCTCAAGTTAGGTGACAACTGTTAAGGAGCATTGGCTACCTGGCTCCTGGGATTTCTCTAGCCCTGGCCTAATTGTTCTTGCAGGTTTATGGAGATCCAGTAATGCTTATTCCATAGTTCAACCTTGGCAGCTGTATTACTTGCATTCTGACCTTTAGTCCAGTTATTTGACAGCCATGAGAGAAATCCTATACATGGAATTACATTGTTGATCTTTTAAAAATGCTGGTTGCCTAGCCATCTCTGGCTTTATTGACCTGGAACAGGTATGCAGGCAAGGAAGCGAGAACTCTAGATCTGCATTCTTTCCCAGGCCAATGACTTGTTGTGTTGAATCCAGAGCATGCCAATCTCTGGATTATTCAGATGAATGTTTGCAGTAGCAGTTGATTGCATTTTCTCCTTTTTTTTTTTTTTTTTTTTTTTTTTTTTTTTATGCAAGTTTCCTTTGAATTGCCAGGTGAGGTTAGATAAGCTGGTCTGTGGGCTCATCTTTTTATAAAGATGGAAAGCGTACCAGTCGGTGACGTTCACCCAGATATACACAGCTATGTATAAATTATTTAGCTGTGTGAAAGGAGTATTTCTGAGCTTAGAAACCTGACACTACCTGATAAAGGATGGAATGACAAACTATTTATGGAATGAGAGCCGTACATATTCCCTCCATGTAGCTGCTGTTTGTTTAGACTGACTTTACAGGCTGAGCTGTCCAGGGGAACACAGAGCTAATGATCTTATCTGTAGCATGCTGTACTCAAGAGACTGTGGCGTACAGGCTTTATTACACTAATAAAATCCAGCCTTACAAGAGGTATTGAATATTTTAACTTGTATGACTCAAATAGAACACAAGCAATAGGACCCTTTTTTTAAATGTGAAGCTTTGTGTTAAAATGAATATTTTCTTAAGGGAGATCTATGAGGTGAGTGCTTTTCACTCATCCTCATAGATCTAGCTGACCTGTGACAATTAAACGGTCACAGGTCGGCTCAGTAGATCGGGGAGGTGAGCGAGCACATACCGGCATTCGCTCACTTCTTGATCCTGTCACGGCAGAGAGCCGTGGCACGGGAGGGACTGGATTCCCCCTCCCCGCTCCGATCCTCCAGCGCTGACTGGCGGAACGGACTGGGGAGGGGGCGGGTACAGCTGGCTCTGCCTCTAGATAGGCAGAGCCAGCTGTCACTCACACAGCTGGGCGGATCCAGACATAATTGTCGGGATCCGTTTCAGCTGCGGCATCTCGGTATACCGCGAGCTGCAGCTCGCAGTATGCTGAGCTTTGGGTAACGGGAGGGCGCTAGTTTGTGTCCTCCAGTTACCCTAAGGAGAACTATGGGGAAAAGCCCTAACCCCATAGTTCTCATTTAATCTAAATTGCCCTCCATAAATTGTCTTCTCAAACTCCTCTTAATAGTTCTGTTGGAGTCGATTTATTGATATACAATGGTACTTCTAAAGAACCACTATACCTTGGGTCACACTTCTTCCATATATTACCAGTAAGTGTTGCTGTAGGTTAGCGCTAGACTTCCAATGGCCAGCAAAGCCTCAGAGCTTTGGGGAATTTACTTTAGAATTGGTCAAGCAGAGTTCCCAGGAAAGAGAATGAGTACACAGATAAAATTCATTTTATTGGAGCTTTTACCTGCCAAAACGATTTTTCTGTCCATCCTTTTCTAAGATTGAATACTTTCATAGCAAGGCGGATAACACCACTTTATAGTTGGGGGTTGACTTATAAATCTTTCAGACAGCAAACATCTTTGCAAAGCAGGATTAACAGTGCATTGGAACTGAAGAGTTGTGGAAGCCGTATGCTCCTTGGCTCCATCTAATGGCTGGTGTGCTGTGAATCTTCTTCGCAGAGCTGTTTGCTATGCAATTAACCCCTTTAAGTGTGCAGGTTTTTTTTTTTGAGGAAGGCATTCGCATTTTGTCAGATTTTTATACTATCTGGCGTTCTGAGAAATTTCCACAGTAACAATGGGTTTTACCAGACAGGGGAAATCTGCAATGAGGACACAAGGCAATAAACAAGATGATTTTGATCTTGGGAGGGGAATCGCTTCCCTACTTTGCTTAATTTCTATTTTGGGGTTTTGCTGTTTTTTTTTTTTTTTATTGTGTTGACAGGAAGTGAGGGTAATTACTTTCTAAAGGAATGCTGGGTAGTAG